CTTCACACCCTTCATGGCACTCAACACATCCACATCATCCAACTCTGCACCGTAGGCAGTGATAATGACATCCGTCTTCAATTTCACCACCTGCTCTGGATCAGTGTGCCACGAGCCGTCATCGTTGCGCTCTCGCCGTACAAAACTCAGCTCGCTAATCCTCCCATCACCGCCAAGGTGCACTTCGTTCGGTACAAGGTTGGGCAAGAACTCGCACTTCTCCTGCCACGCCAACTCCATCTCCTCGGGCACGGGATTAATGGTGGTAAAGCTCTTGCGGAAGGACACGGTCACACGCGAGGCGCCACACCGCAGTGCCGACGTGGCACAATCGAAAGCCGTGTCACCAGCGCCCAATACCACTACGCGTTTACCCTTCAAATCCGGTAGACGTGCGTTGTCGCAGCCCAAACACCCCTTTGAGGCAGCCGACACACAAGGCAAAAAGTCCTTCGAGGTGAGAAATCCCTGCTGCGACGTGAGACCGGCAAACACACCTGTGGAGTGTGGATTGGGCAACCCAAAGCCCAGAAATATAGCTCTGTAGCCTGAAGCACGCAGACTATCCAGCGTCACACCATGAGGCTTCCTGACGGAGTCGGAGGCCTCAGCTGCAGAGGCGGAGAAGGGACGTCCCGTAAAGATGCGCACACCAAGGTCGCGCAGCATCTGCAACTCGAAGGCAACAGCGGCGCCGGGCAAACGGAACTGAGGAATCTCCGTCGTGCTCAGTCCCCCAATCCGCTCACCACGCTCGAAGATGTGCACATTTCGGTAGCCCAATCGTGCCAGGAAGGTTGCGCATGAGATGCTCGCGGGTCCACAGCCCACAAGTGCGATCTTCGCGTCATAGTGCGGATCTCCCGCCGTCCTCGCCACTATCGCTGGGTCCACTACCTACAACCCAACCATCCTCACTAAACAACCCGCACACCCAACTATCCCCTGCGTCAATCCTCCTCTACACCCTCTACATGTACTGACGATTAGCAGCCACGCATCCTATGCGTAATTGTTGCTGCAACTTCAACGCCTCGTTTAACTGTGCGCCAAAATGCATGGACGCGTTGCATTTTCGCTCTATGGCACAGCATTCAAATCCAGTCAGTAGCCATGCCCATAACGTCCTCTCCCACAGCACTTCGCCATGTCACAACGTCAACGAAGACTCACGCTGT